AGCTTGTGGGTTGCCTCATGTACCTGATGACCTGCACTCGACCTGACCTTGCATACCCTCTCAGCATTCTTGCACGCTATGTCGCTCCCGGCCGTCACCGAAAGGAGCACATAGATGCAGTTAAGAGGGTGTTGCGCTACTTGTGCAGTACGTCGGGCATGGGGCTAATGCTTGGAGGGCGAGTCCCAGTTGTTCTCACTGGGCACTCAGACGCTTCTTGGGCAGACGACCAGGCTACTCAGCGGTCGTCTCAGGGTTACTCCTTCAGTCTTGGCTCTGGTTCAGTTTCTTGGCGTTCTACTCGCTCTTCTTCTGTTCTCAGCTCCAGTTGTGAGGCTGAGATCTACGCCACAGCCATGGCGGCCCAGGAGCTACGCTGGCTCACCTACTTGCTGACCAACCTCGGATAGCAGCCTCGTTCTCCTCCAGTGCTGTACGTCGACAACAAGGCAGCCATTGCCTTGTGTGAGGAGCATAGACTCGAGCACAGAACGAAGCACATTGCTCTGCGTTACTTCCTTGCTCGAGAGCTAAAGCAGCGTGGTCAGCTTCGCCTGCGTTACGTGGCCTCTGAGGCCAACCCTGCTGATGTGTTCACCAAGGCACTTCAGCCTTGTGACCATCAGCGCTTTTGCACTCTTCTAGGCCTTGTGCCTACTGGACCTCACTTGCTTACTTCTTGAGCCTGTTTGTACTCTGATCTCTATATATATATACCTGCATGTTTACTCTTGCTAGGTTGTGATCATTGTACCTTTTGCTCTATTATCACCGTGCATGTGAACTGGTCTTGTGACCACTTGCTTGTGCTCGGAATTTGTGTGGTATCCTTGAGATCCACCCTGAGCTTGTTTTGCCTTGCTTTGCCTTGACTGGTCTTGTGACCCCTAGTTCTCCCCACTTCGCCCATGGGGGTGTGTCAAACATTATATATGTTGTTGTGCTTGTTCAGGCTACAGTGGGTTAGCCTGTAGGGGGTACACAATTCTAGGGTTAGGTATTCGTACTGTTTTCACTCTTAGTTCATTCATTCCTGTTCAGTTCTTTCAACACATGTAGCCGGCCTATTCGCATAGCGCGAGAAAACCGATGGTGTAGTCTTGAAATGACTTGAGCTGTCGCCAAGTGCGCAGCTTATGGCGTGCTGAAATCGAAGCCGTGTTTGGCTCAAAGCCCGCACATAGCCCTGCACACCACGCATCCCACGTGCGGTATTGAGCGACTTCATAGAACAAAATGCTCCTGGTAATAGTTAGCCTCGAGGGCCTTTCTCCTTGCAGCAGTGGCTTGTAGCCGCTCCTTGGGGTAACAATTACTCGCCACCAGTCCATGGCTGGCCCACGCAGCAGAGAGACGACGTCATCCGATGTGACGTAATTTGCGTTTAGAAAAGTATATATATATATATACATATATCATAGTGAACACCCACGATTTAACCGTCGGACCTCCATGCTGGCTTGGGTCGAAACAAGGCGGACGCTGCGGCTTGAGCGGCATTGTCTCGGCGATGTGGTTATTGCCGAATGTTGCCGCAATGCTGACGTGACAACGGTTGTCGCGGGGTGTGTTTACGCCTGGTGTTTCCCTGGTTTGCTCCATGCCCGGCATGTGTTGGGCGGCGCCGTCACTGGCTGCGGCTGAGTGTTGTCCCACGTTGTCTTGTCAGGACGCTGAAGGCGTCACCAAGGTGATGGTGATGGGTGCTTCGGTTGGGGCTTGTGTTGGTGCTTGTGCAAGAGCATTTGCCATTGATTGCCGAAGTGAGTTGCAATCCGCTGTCAATGTGGGATCCTGAGGGCCACTAGATATGTTAGGCTGTAGTTAGATGCATAGTATAGGGTACAGGAATTCTCTCGACACTCCTACTTGTAACCCTCTCCTTACTATTCGAGACATTGTGCTACGTAACTCTAACAAATATCACCTGCACGTCAGTTGACACTCCCCCTCCCTATATCACGTGCACGCTAGTTTACACTCCCACCCCATCACATGCACGCCAATTGACACGCTCTCCCAATATCACTTGCACGCCAATTGACACTCTCCCCCAATATCACTTGCGCTCCAATTGACACTCTCCCTCAATATCACCTGCACACCAGTTGATACTCCCCCCCCAAATATCACATGCATGCCAATTGACTCCCCCCCCCCCTCAATATCACCAACACTCCAGTTGACACTCCCCCCTCAATATCAGCCCGCACTCTGCGCATTGCCGACGGTCCATGTGAGGTGCATCTAGTTTCCATTAGGAGCTACGGGACTAGCAGACGGGGATGACGAGGGCTGGAAGCAGTGGCAGCTTGGGTAAGAGTGCTGCATCAGCCCGGTTGTAGAGAACTGGTAAATTTGGAGTCAGAATTGGAGTCGGAGGGTGGAAAGGGGGGAGTGAGCTCAGACTTTCCCTCTTTCCCGCCAGTGGGTGGAGCCCCGTACTTTGCGCATCACCTCTAGATGAGATGCATCTGGCTTCCATTGGAAAGAAAGATCTGCAGGACTGGCAAAAGAAAATGATGGGCTCATGCTGTTTGCGTGCTGTCTTTTCCCAGTGGAATGCACGATCCATGGACTGCTGATGGTCCATATGAGGTGATTTCTCTGGGCAGAAAAATCGCAAGACCCTGATTGGTAACACAGCGTGCCAACGAGAGAACATCGCAACTAAGGGTGCATGCGATAAATACAACGTGGCAAAGGATCGTTCGTGCCAAGGCAGGACCAGATTCCAGGGGGAAACAAACACAGGCTCTCCCTTCTCCACCCCCCCCCCCCCCCCCCCCCCCCCCCTTCCCCACGCGCCTCCCCCATCCTTAATTCGCGTCAGGGCGTTCCTCACTTCCATCCTGTTGCTTCGGGGCAAAATATCACGGCCATCCTGAGATTTCAGGCAAAACATTCAACATTATCCTCTAGTAACAGGGTAAAAATTGTTGGGCTGAAAAGCCCCTTAGGATCTTTGGTAGGGTAAATCTCTGGGTCTAGTGATGTGGTAGCGGAAGCGTTTAATGATGAGACTTTGAACCACCTTTGTCAGAACATTATAGCTTATGCTGTTGTGTAGGCTATAGTGGGGTATCCCATAGGGGGTACAACCCAATTAGGGTTTCCTATATGTACTCACTTCATTCATAGTTCATTCATTCTCGTTTGTATTTTCTCATTGTATCGAGCAGGTTCCCTCGTGGGAACTGTTCCTAGGGCCCACCAACCGATTTTTTTCTTGCCCGGGGCGCGTCCTGCCCCCCTGCCCGAAGCGCGCCTAACCTAGCGGCGGCCCCTAGCGGCCCGTCGCCCTTTCCGCAGCGGCCCGCCGTCGCCCTAAGGCGGCTCGTCGCCGCCCTTTCCGCAGCGGCCCGCCGCCGCCCTAAGCGGCCCGCCGTCGCCCTTTCCACAGCGGCCCGCCGCCGCCCTAAAGCGGCCCGCCGCCGCCCGTTCTGCAGCGGCCCGTCGCCGCACTAACCCGGCCCGCCGCCGCCTGTTCTGCAGCGGCCCGCCGACGCCCTAAGCGGCCCGCAGCCGCCCTTTCCGCAGCGGCCCGCCGCCGCCCTAAAGCGGCCCGCCGCCGCCCGTTCTGCAGCGGCCCGTCGCCGCCCTAAACCGGCCCGCCGCCGCCCGCTCCGCAGCGGCCCGCCGTCGCCCTAAAGCGGCCCGTCGCCGCCCGCTCCGCAGCGCCTTGACGCCGCCCCCACCGCAGCGACCTGCCGCCGCCCTACAGCGGCCCGTCGCCGCCCTATCCCCGGCGGCCTGCCGCCGCCCTACAGCGGCCCGTCGCCGCCCTATCCGCAGCGGCCCGCCGCCACCCTAGAGCGGCCCGTCGCCGCCCGCCTCTGCTGCGGCCTCGCCGCCCTCACTGCGGCCTCGCCGCCCTCACTGCGGTCTCGCCGCCTCCTGCTGCGGCCTTGCCGCCCTCTACTATGGCCTCGCCGCCTCTCACCTGCTGCAGCGCCGCGCCACCCTGCAGCAGCACCGCCGAGCCGCCCTTGCACCGGAGCACCCGGACAGCCGAGCCGCCGAGCCACTCAGCCGCCGAGCAGCCGAGCCGCCCAGCAGCCGAGCCGCCCAGCAGCCGAGCCGCCGAGCAGCCGAGCCGCCCAGCAGCCGAGCCGCCCAGCAGCCGAGCCGCCCAGCACCCGAGCCGCCCAGCAGCCGAGCTGCCCTGCAGCCGAGCCGCCGAGCCGCCCCGCAGCCGAGCCGCCGAGCCGCCCCGCAGCCGAGCCGCGGAGCCGCCCTACTTCCGACCTGCCTGAGCTGCCCTGTCTGGTGAGCACAGCACCTCTTTCACTGCACTGCCCTCACCCTACTGCTTGCACTGCTAGTCTACTGTCGTCATGGCTACCCCTAGTGTCCTAGCTTTTGACGCTGAGGGTCGGGCCATTGACTTCGAGGTCTGGGTAGATGATTTGCAGCTGTTCTTACAGTGCGATACGGCAGACGGTCTCTCTCTCTCTCTTTGACCTCACCTCTGGCGCTTCCCCTGCCCCTGCTGCTGATGCTGATGCCACTGTTCGTTCCCAGTGGGCCACGCGCGACGCTGCTGCACGTCTTGCTGTGCGTCGCCACCTCCCTACCTCCGAGCGTGCACACTTTAGTCAGTACAAGAGTGCTCAGACCTTGTACGACGCTTTAGTTGCACGCTACTCCTCCCCTGCCACTGCTGCACTGAGCCGTCTCATGCTGCCGTACCTCTTCCCTGACCTTGCTGCCTTTCCCACAATCGCTGATCTCATTACGCACCTCCGCACTAGTGACACTCGCTACCGCGCTGCGCTTCCTGCTGACTTCTGCGCCAAGAACCCCCCCCCATGTACATCACCCTCTACTTCATAGTCACCCGACTCCCTGACTCCCTTAGAGTGGTCAGGGACCACTTCCTAGCTGTGTGCCCCACCACCCTCACCATTGACCTCCTCGAGAAGTCCCTCCTAGCGGCGGAAAAGAGCATAGTCGATGTAGGTGCCTCTCGTGGTGACCCTCGCACCCCTGTCTTTGAGGGGTGTTCTCCCTCCCCCCTCTTGCCCTTTGTCACTTCTGCTGCTGCTGCCGACCTCGTTGGTCTCGAGTCGGTCGGCGCTGCATCTGCCCCTTCGAGGAAGCGCCGCACAGGCAGGGGCAAGGGGGGCAAGGGCACTGGAGGAGCTGGCGGGAGCGGTGGAGGTGGCGGTGGAGGCGGCGGAGGGAGTGGGGGTGGAGGAGGGAGCGGTGGAGGGGGTGGGGGTACCGGTGGCGGCAGTGGGGGCGGAGGCGGCGGCGGTGGCGGAGGGAGCGGAGGAGGCGGCGGTAGCGGAGGCGGTGGTGGTGGTGGAGGCGGCGGTGGTGGCGGAGGCGGCGGAGGGGGCGGAGGTGGAGGTGGAGCTGGTCGCGGGTCTACGCAGAGGAGTGGCACCGGTGGTGGTCCGCGCCAGCAGCAGCAACGTGGTCGTGAGACCCTGTCCCCTCAGCAGCTCCGTGAGTGGTACACTGCACGCCAGCGGGGTGGGGGTTTTGGTCCGTGCACCTACGTCCTGCGCACCGGCTCAGCACCCCCACGCTCAGCACCCCCAGGCTCAGCACCCGCAGGCTCAGCACCCCCAGGCTCAGCACCCCCAGGCCCCGCACCCCCAGGCTCAGCACCCCCAGTCTCCGCACCCCCAGGCTCAGCACCCCCAGTCTCCGCACCCCCAGGCTCAGCACCCCCAGTAGGACGAGAGTCGTCAGCTACCTCAACAGGCTCAACCGGGTCTACCTGAGACACACCTGAGGGAGCGGCACCCTGAGGGGGGAGGGGGTCTACGACAGCAGCACCTGGCGCGAGGAAGAGAGGCGGGGGGGGGAGCGGGGCAGTGCGGTAGGGAAAGAGGCGGTAGTAGGGGACAGACTCGTCAAAAGTGACGTCCTGAGAGGGCAAGACCCAGCGCGAGGTGGCGTGGTAAAACTGCCAACCAGGCGCGTCCGGGACAAAGCCGAGGAAGACGCAGGGAACAGCACGAGAGGAGAGCTTGTCCGCAGACGAATCGCGGACAAAAGCTCGAGATCCCCAGACCCGGAAACGCGACGCATCGCCAACCTCCCCCATCCACAGCAGTGTGGGCGAGGTCTCCGGCAAGGAGACACGGGGCCAGAGGTTGAGCTGATGCGCAGCGTACCGGACCGCAAACGGCCACAGAAAGTGGGGGGCAGCCGCATGGATCAAGGAGGTACGAGCGACCTCCATGACCAGGCCAATGCGGCGCTCCGCAACCCCATTCTGCTGTGGAGAGGCCGGAAGCGTGAACGACTGCTCAATGCCGTGCTCAGCGCAGTAGGCTGCCAAGAGGTCGGAGGAGAACTCACCACCTCTGTCAGAGTGCAAGCGCAGGACAGGAAAGTCCAAGCGGAAACGCTCGCTGAGCTGGAGACAGACTTTGCGGATCCAAGGGATCAAGACATCAAGGACCTCACCCTTGGTGCGCAAGGGGAAGACCGTGGTGTAGCGCGAGTAGTCGTCAACAACTATCAGGAAGTACCTCTCCTGACCCTAACCACGGATGCGGGCTAGGCCCCACACGTCCATGTGGAGCGTCTGCAACGGAGCAGTCGTCGGGGGAAACGAGGAGGAGTGAGGAGCGGCGCGCTGCCGCCCCTCGACACAGGGAAGACAGGGAGGAGCAGGCGAGGGTGGGAGGGGAGGGAGGACCCTGGGAAGACCAGAGACAAGGTACCGGGAGTGCATGGCATGAAGGCGCTGCATAGACGGGGGGCCAAGTCGGTGGTGCCAGAGGACAGTCTCGTGTGCTAGAGAGCGACACGAGCAGCGGGCAGACAGCTGACCTGACGCGGACGCAGATGCAGACGCAGCAACCTGAAGGGACGCAGTAGTCAGTGTGTACAGGTCCGACCCCGGCTACCGGGTGAAGGAGCTGCTGCTGGTGCTGCGGACCCGGGCGTTGGAGCTGCTGCTGGTGCTGCGGACTTGGGCGTTGGAGCTGCTGCTGGTGCTGAGGACCCGGGAGTTGGAGCTGCGGCTGGTGCTGTGGACCCTGGTGTTGGAGCTGCTGCTAGTACTGAGGACCCTGGCGTTGGTGTCTCTGCTGGTTCTGGAGTCACTGCGTGGCAGCGGCCGTACTTCGTTCCGCTTCTTCAGCAGGTTCTTGGTCAGCTTCCTCCTCCTTGTCCTCCTCCCTCCTTAGGGTGTCCTCCGTCTGTCCAGCTGCAGTCACAGCTACCGTCTGCCTCCTCTCTCCCTGGTCCTGCTCCTTACACTGGTCCGACTGGAGGTCTTACTGAGCGTCGTGAGCCTGAGTCTCGTCCTACGTCGCCTGAGTCTCGCCGTGAGTCGCCTGTCCGTGCTGCTTCCACTGGTGGTCGTGTCCCTCGTCAGCGTCTTCCTGCTGTCCCGGGCACTCATTGGATGGCGCTTCGTCCTTCCAGTGCTCCACAGCGTGCCCACTGCCGTCTCCTCCTGCGTCCTCTCATCCTGCTGTTGCTGACCCGAGGTCTGACTCCCTTCGTGCTGCCAGTCCTACTGTTACGCGTCTCCTTGGAACTGTCATCACTGACCCTTCCTTTGAGTCCACTGCTGCGTCTGCCCTAGTTACTGAGCTCGTCGACTTTGCTGCTCGCTGTCGCCTAGACTACGCTGCTAGTCTTGTCGCTGAGTCTGAGTCTGTCTGTCCTCCGTCCGTCGGGGGTGAGTGTGCCCTTGGCACGGACGTCCTTGAGGACAGGCAGGAGGAGTTCCAGTGCTTGGCCGCTGCTTCACCTCATCTCGTGTCCATACTGCTTACCCCTGAGGGAGACCCGGATGCACTTGACATCCCGACTCCGCGCTCTTACGCGGAGGCAATAGAGGGTCGCTACTCTTCTCAGTGGCAGGCAGCTATGGATGCAGAGATGGCTTCCTGGAAGTCCACAGGCACCTACGTTGACGCTGTCCCCCCTCCTGGGGCGAACATCGTCAGTGGCATGTGGATCTTCAGGGTGAAGCGACCGCCGGGTTCTCCGCCTGTCTTCAAGGCGCGTTACGTAGCTCGTGGCTTCAGACAGCGGCAGGGAGTTCACTACTTTCAGACCTTCTCTCCCACCCCGAAGATGACCACTCTTCGGGTACTGCTGCACGTAGCTGCTCACCGTGACTACGAGCTACACTCTTTTGACTTCAGCACTGCTTTCTTGCAGGGCAGTCTGCACGAGGAGATCTGGCTGCGTCGCCCACTTGGCTTCACAAGGACTTTTCCTCCTGGCACCAAGTGGAGCCTTCGGCGGCCAGTCTACGGTCTCCGCCAGGCACCGCGTGAGTGGCACGACACACTGAGGACTACGCTTGCAGCTCTTGGGTTTGCTCCTTCTACTGCCGACCCGTCGCTGTTTCTACGCACCGACACCTCCCTGCCGCCGTTCTACATCCTCGTGTACGTCGACGACTTGGTCTTTGCCACAGCTGACACTGCTGGACTCGCCTACGTGAAGTCCGAGCTTCAGAAGAGACACACGTGCACAGACCTGGGTGAACTGCGCAGCTACCTTGGTTTGCAGATCACTCGGAACAGAGCACGCCGCACCATCATCCTGACTCAATCACACATGGTGCAGCAGGTCCTTCAGCGCTTCGGCTTCACGTACTCCTCGCCTCAGGCCACTCCTCTGTCTACTCGCCACTCGCTCTCAGCTCTGCCTTCAGATGAGTCCGTAGAGTCGAGTGGCCCGTACCCAGAGCTTGTTGACTGCCTCATGTACCTGATGACCTGCACACGACCTGACCTTGCATACCCTCTTAGCATTCTCACACGCTATGTTGCTCCTGGGAGACACCGACCAGAGCACATGGCTGCAGCGAAGAGGGTGTTGCGCTACTTGTGCAGTACGTCGGGCATGGGGCTAGTGCTTGGAGGGCGGAGTCCAGTGGTCCTCACTGGTCACGCAGACGCTTCTTGGGCTGACGACCAGGCTACGCAGCGGTCGTCACAGGGTTACACCTTCAGCCTTGGTTCCGGCTCTGTTTCGTGGCGGGCTACTCGCTCGTCTTCTGTTCTCGGCTCCAGCTGTGAGGCTGAGATCTACGCAGGAGCCATGGCTGCTCAGGAACTTCGCTGGCTCACCTACCTGCTGACCGACCTTGGAGAGCAGCCTCGTTCTCCTCCAGTCCTGTACGTAGACAACAAGGCCATGCTGGCCTTGTGTCGAGAGCAGAGACTGGAGCACAGAACAAAGCACATTGCTCTCCACTACTTCCTTGCTCGTGAGCTACAGGAGCGTGGTCAGTTGCAACTTTCGTACGTGGCCTCTGAGGCCAACACTGCTGATGTCTTCACCAAGGCACTTCCGCCTTGTGATCATCAGCGCTTCTGTACCCAGTTGGGTCTTATGCCTGTCTTGCCTCACTTGCTCTCCTCTTGACCCTCTTTGTACTATTACATATATATATTGCTGCTCTTGCTTGTTTAGCCTTTTATATATATGTGTACTCCTGTATCAGAACTGGCCTTGTGGCCTTGAACTTGTGCTCGGAATGTGTGGTGACGTTGTGATCCACCCTGAGCTTGCTTTGCTTTGCTTTACTTGACAGGTCTTGTGACCCCTAGTTCTCCCCCACTTCGCCTATGGGGGTGTGTCAAACATTATATATGTTGTTGTAGTTGTTTAGGCTACAGTGGGTTAGCCTATAGGGAGTACACATTTCTAGGGATTCCTACTTGTACTCATTTCACTGTTAGTTCATTCATCCTTGTTCAACAGAGCACTGTGGGCGTGTGCACCCCACCCAGCGCTGCTTTGGCCGCCTGACGGACGCGTGGCGTCACCAGATCCCTGAGGCCACAGAGATCCCTCGCTGGGGTGAGCTGTCTAGGGCGGGAGTAGCCATCTATGATCTTGATTTTGATGCTATCTTGTCTGCCATGTATTCTGTGACTATTAGTGATGAGGGTGACTGTTACCGGTGTTTCCCGCCCGATCCGGGCATTGAGACTGCTGCTCTAGGTACTGGTGCGGCTGCTGACCTAGGTGCTTGCAACGTTGCTGCTCTAGGTGCTAGTGCGTCTGCGTCCTCAGGTACTGGTGAGTCTGCGCTCTCAGGTACTGCGTCAGCTTCTCGCTCCTTCTTTCGGGACCGCACCACACTTACGCCGCTCAGTCGGCCGGTTGATGTGTCTCTGGCTGACCCCTCTGGGGGTCCTGTCCTGTCTCACTTCTCCACAGTCCTCCCGTGTCCGGCGGCTCCCTCTGGCACCCTGTCTGGTCTCTACCTTCCCTCATTCTCTACAGGATTGGGGAGTCCACCAGTTCACTCCTGCGAGTCAGCGAGTGACGCACTGTACAAAGGCTCGCACAGGCCGACACCTGGCTACGTTTACACGTCAGCCGGGGTCGAGCCTGTACACACTGACCACTGCGTCTCCTCCAGTTGTTGCGTCTGGTAGGGTGTCTGCGTCAGGTCAGGTGTTTGCTGCAGCGTCCAGGTCTGGTCCTGAGTCTGCCCCCTGTTCGTATCGTCTCCTGTCTCACGAGACTCTCCTCTGGCACCACCGCCTTGGTCACCCCTCTCTGCTTCGGCTTAGAGGCATGGCCTCTCGTCTTCTTGTTTCTGGTCTCCCCAGGTCCCTCCCTCCCCTTCCTCAGGGGCCTTGCCCTTCCTGTGTCCCCTGTGTCGAGGGGCGCCAAAGGGCTGCCCCTCACTCCTCCCAGTTTCCTCCGACAGAGGCCCCGCTGCAGACGCTTCACATGGA